ATTTTTAGCAAATAAAAATTGCACAGCGTTATGTAATATACAACAAAAATAGCAAAATCCCATCACTTGAAACCCCAATGTAATATTCATCTCTGAAATGGAGCAAGGTTGAATAAGGCTTTCAAGTGGAACTATGCAAACTACAGATTTTTTGTTTGATAGTGGAATTGGAAAGTTGGAAAAAATATTTTGGATTGACACAACATTTTTTTAAAAATTATTTTGTGAACTCAAAGATCAAGGAAGAAAATTGTTTGGGGTCAAATGAGACAAATATTTTGTTTCCTTGTTGAGGTTTTAAACCTTTATTTAGTAATATACTGAAGTAAATTTTGAAATAAAAGGTAATTTTGAATTAAAGTCAAAGATTTTATTTTTATAAATGTAAAAAATGTTTTGATTTTTTTTAAAGACATTTTTAACTACAACAGATTTTGTGAATTTGTGTCAAATTTGCCAGTGTTTCAGTTGCCCTCTATCTACTTTTTTTCTTTCAAAAATTTTTACCTAGCATTACTTGTAAACCATTAAAATGCATACAAATGTTAACACTTTGCCACGGTAACATATTATTTATTTGTGTTTTGATAGCATCAAGAAGTCTGTTTAGACTCTAGTAGTATATTAGGAAAAGTGTGTTTCTGTGTCTTCTGTAATTCAGTATATACTATTAGTTCCAAAGCCTGCACAATGCATTTTGGAGGGAAGTTAAAAGCTTTCTTTTCCAATGAAATGGGGATGATGGCCTAATGGATAAGACATGAGACTGGGAGTTAGGAGACCTCACTTTTATATCTCTATTACTAATGACCTGTGTGTCCCATCTTTTATCTTTTTTGTCTATTTATGCTGTAAGGTCTCTGGGAAGGAATTGTCTCTTGCCATGTGTTACTGTGACAGTGATTTGGTCTCAAGTCTCAGTGCTTGTTGCTTTTCTTAAATCCCAGCTCTCAGAGTTATTTGATAATCTTGGAAGGCCTGGTTAAGGTACCAGCTGGTTAACCTAAAAGTTCACAAGAAGGCTTTATTAGTAGTAGTAATACTGTAGTACCTTGAAGTCCTAGTAATGAACCAGTATGGTTCCTGCCTCAAGGACAGGCCGGCTGGCAGGGGGACAAAGGGGTCAATTGCCCTGGGGCCCAGTGCTTCAAATGTAATGGGGACTGTTGGCCCCTTACTGAAATTCAGTGGGACTTTTTCATTGGCCAGATCCCAGTACCAAGAGGGGAAGGGTCCATGAGACTGACAGACCCCAGGGACTTTTTTCATTGGCCAGATCTCAGTACCAAGAGGGGAAGGGTCCATGAGACTGACAGACCCCAGGGACAATTGGAAGAAGCCAACACTACAGGTCAGCCTGATTGACAGGTTGGACAGGCCAGTGAGGGAATTAGAAGACCAGGTCCTGTCCTCCGTGTGTGCTGGGATTTTCTGGGCCTGAGTCAAAGGGGCAGAGAGCTAAGAAGAGTAGCAAGGGGTCTAGGCTGTACTAAGGAGCAGACCTGCAGTGACAGAGCCAGAGGCCCATTCAGCCCACAGAGCGCAGACCCTGTGCTAAGAGGCAGACTGCAGTGACAGAGCCAGACACGCACAGCCCAAAGAGTGCAAGCTACGCTGAGAGACAGACCTGTAGTGACAGAGCCAGACACACACAGCCCAAGGAGTGCAAGCTACGCTGAGAGGCAGACCTACAGTGACCAGAGTCAAAGGGGTCAGAGGAGCAACGCAAGGCGCTGGAGGCTGGCAAAGAGACATAGTCTGCAGCTGGGTGTGGTGAGCAGCTGGGACCAGCAAAGGGGGGAAAAGAGGCTCTGGGCAGGGAGACACCATCAGCCAAGAGGTGCTGCAGGCCATACTTGGAGAGGGATTGTAACTCTAACTGGGAGAGGGTCCCAGCCACTTAGAGCCTGAAGTCGTGTGGTCACTGCCAGAGCAAGCATGTCCAACCGGCAGTTCCCCCTGCAGCACAGCCAGGGCCTAAGAGAGAGCCCTGGGACCTATAAGGAACAGACTGTGAACTGTCCTTACACTCTGCAGACTGCTGTTTGTGATGTCCCTGTGCTACAGAGCAGGGCGATGTGTTCTCTTTTAACCTTTCTCATTTTTTCCTTATTCTTTTCTTTTTAATCAGTTGCTGTTTAATAAATTGTATTTGCTTTGAACTGTATATAATGATCACTGGGTCAAGAAAGCATCCACTGTGAAGAGAGCACCCTGGAGTGGGAACACCCTAGCCCCTGCCCTAAGTAACTATAAGGTCGGGAATTAAGCCCCAGGAAACTTGGGCCCAGCCTTGTTGGGATTTCGAGGACTCTGCTACACAGGAGAGTGGAAGGGGAGCCCTCAGGGTCAGGGAGACCTTTGGGTAAAAGAAATGGAAGTGAGGACTCAGATCATTTCACTGGGGTAGTATAGAAGCCAGGAAAGTTCCCCACAATAGCGGCACCATTCCCCCGCTTACACAAAGGGGCCCGTGGCCCCAGCCACTACTGTTGCCAAAGTAGCAGCAGTAGCAGCCAGAGCCCCAGACTCTTTAAATGGCTGTCAGAATGCCACACCAGGCAGTATGAGGGGATGGGAAGAGGGTGCCATGCTCTGTGGCTGCCTGCCTTACCCAGGGGTCTGTGAAGGCAGTCATCTCCACTGTTCAAGGAGTTTACAACCCAAGTATGCAAAAAAAATTAGATAGATACAGACCACATAAATAAAGAGACAATAGTGATCAGTCTGATAGGCGTCAGTCTCACCTTTGTTTTCTTTACTTAAATCAGAACTTCAGATAACCAAACTTTTTTGGACCTTTAAAAGTCTGGTTTGAGATTTAGTTGAAGGTTTGAGTCTGTTCTCATTCTGTCCAAGTATGTTCATCCATGCCTAAATGGAATGCATGGTCTACTGCATCTTTTTATGTATTCCATCCCTTTAGTCTTGCATGTGAACCATCTGGGCTTGGAGATTTAGCTGATTTAGTGTCTTTATCTCTTTTGTGTAACCACCTGTGTCAAAAGTTTGTCTTTGCTGCTGTTTTAGTGTCTTTATTTATCTCTATTGTGTAAGCACCTGTGTCAAAAGTTTGTCTTTGCTGCTGCCCCTTTGGAATATAGAACATAGTCTCATATTTTTTTCTGCAGACCTTGGGGAGGAGAAACTAAAGCAGAAATTGTTTTCCTTAGCCTATTTGTTGCTTCCTCTCTAATTATGTTCCTTCAATACTCCTTCAGTCAAATCTACCAAACCCTGATTCCTTGTAGATTTTCAAAATTTGTAATCTTGTCACTTTTCATAATGATTTTCTTAAATCATTCTCTCCTTTGTCATATATGCCATATCTCTTTTGGCATTAAAAATAAAAATGATACAGAAAACATGAAAATGATGGGTCACATAAAACAGTTCAAGAAAAAGAAATAACACAAGGTTAATATATTTAGCATACCTGAAGTTTTCTGTAACCTTAATTTTCAGGATTCAGCATTTTAATGCCCATAATTTATGACAATAAACAATAATTCAAGAACACTTTTTCCAAGGAACTTGGAAAAATTTAAGTCTGAACTGTACATTAACTTCTGTATTATGATTAGGTGCAATTGAGTTTTATGGTCAGAAAGACTATAATGTAAATGTGATATTCTCTGTGTGTGATGTCTAGGTTACTATGGGTGTCCACAGTTTTATTTAATTAATTGTATATGAATAAAAACATCTCTGTATATTCTGTGTGTGATGTCTAGGTTACCATGGGTGTCCACAGTTTTATTAAATTAATTGTACAGGCAGTCCCCGACTTACGAATACAGTTACTCAAACAATTCTCTTTTAAACTGTCTTTTATAAGAAGTATATATTTATTGTAGAAATAAAATAACATTTCATGAAATGTAGAATAATTATTTGAATAAGTATACTTAGAAGAATGTTGTTTTGTATTTGTGTGGGTGTGCACGCCATACATACTTGTCAAGATTTCAGTTATTTACCTTTATAATACTCATTTCCCCATTGTCATCTTTCAACTTGCTTGAATTTCCAGATATACTTCATTTAGTATTATATTGTCTTATTTTTTACTCTTGCTCTAAATTAAGCCTTATATCTTAGCAAGGAATGAAGTAGAAAGTACTATCAGACTTAACTAGGCTTGACATAAGGTCTATTCATCAAAGGTCCTACTTTACCAATTTGATGATAACTTGTACTTAATGCTAAGGTAGATCTTACTTGTAATTGAGGCATTGAGTGCTCTTATCATACTTAATAATGCTAAGGTAGATCTTACTTGTAATTGAGGCATTGAGTGGGATTTGCAAGATCTGGGTTCAAATCCTGTTTCTGCCATAGATTTCCTTTGTGATCTTGAGCAAATCATTTAATCTTAGTGCCTCGGGTCACCTTCAGTAAAAAGAAGATAATGCTACTTTCCTCCTAGTTTTTGCCTCTCCTAGACTACAAATTGTACAAATGTGCATACACATGCATATAGTGCCAAGCCCACTGAAGACCTGATCTTTGCTGAGGCTTCTATATGCTACTACAGCAGTTCTCAAACTTTTTGGGCTCCGGATCCCTTTACGTGCGTAAAAATTTATGCGGAGCCCCAGCAGTCTACTGATTGTATGTGTTGTACTTATGCGGCACCCCAGCGGTCAACTAATTGTATGTGTTGTACTTATGCAGAGCCCCAGCAGTCCACTGATTGTATGTGTTGTACCCATCGATGTTTCCAGTTTGTCAACCGCGCGAAACCCCTGAAGACATCTCGCGGAGCCCCAGGGCTCCGCGGACCACAGTTTGAGAAACATTGTGCGACTGTAATTCACCTAACATCCAGTCCTGTAACCTACCTGTCTTTTTCCTGGATTCTGGCTTGATGTACTGTTGAAAAATTTTGTTTTAGAGTCTTGTTCTTTCCCTTTTATTTTGGAAAGTTTTTCCACAGTCTGATTAGTTGGTGGTGATGTTGGGAGACACAAGGTTAAATCTCTCTTTCAATATTTCAGCTGCTAAATGTGACTTTGAAACAGACAGCTGTGGCTGGTTTGAGACTGTTAGTGCAGATGCATTTGACTGGGTAAGAAGTTCCAGAAATGTTCTTCCATCTGATTTTCAGAAACAAGCCCCAGAACAGGATCACACCTATAACAAATCCCAAGGTGAGACATAAACAGGTCTTTGATATGCAGATACACATACACAAAACTTCCTGTCATTAAATCAAGAGCAGTAACTTCTGCTGCAGTCTTCTGTATTACAATGGCTCTGTGTATGAAAAGTTCTTGTTTGTTTTTTCCCAATAGGTCATTTTATGTTTGTTCTGAGAAACAGCAGCGTTTTTTCCCAACAGGTCATTTTATGTTTGTTCTGAGAAACAGCAGCAACATTTCACAGGTTGCTCAAATACAAAGCCCAAAGTTCAGTCAAGCTGCATCAGGTTGCACAGTGTCCTTCTGGTATGAATTAAGTTTTATTTTGAATTTATGGAACATCTGACATTGCTTCTGTTGGACTGAAATTGAGGTTAGAATTTCCAGTAGCGCACATCTCTCTTGGCAAAATTTATTGCTTTCTTTTACTCTTTGGTCACATAGGATTTGTTGTAACCACTAAGCAACAATAAGCCAAAGCATTTGGAAAAACACACCTGAAACACAGGACCATTTTAGTTTTTGATCTTTTAGACATAATCTTTTAAAATGTTTTTCCTAAAGTAATACGCAGAAATGCCATGATGATTCCAATAAAAGATTTCTACAGCGGATGAGTTAATCTGATAATGTGAAGGGGATTCTACTTGGAATAGCTAACCACACAAAAAGCTAGTGGCTCATCAAGGCAGCTGTGTGATACAAAACTAAGCTGTAAATCTCAGAAGATCGGGCTTTATCACATGACTTAGTAGGGGAAAAAAGTTAAATGCAGGATGATGGGGAGAGTTAATCCAAGATTTCATGTGGAAGTTCAAGGTGGTGCTTATTTTTCAATGTATCGGTTTGTCATTGCTGAAATTTTGTTTACTGATAAAATTCAGAATTGTTTTTCTAAACAATGAGTTCAGTGGAAATTACCTCATCTTCTTATCAAATAATTACGATATTGTCAATTGGAGGGTTGTCTGTTTAGCATATGGGACTAGATATCAAAAGTTCTGGGTCTTATTCCCAGTTCTGCCTTTGGCTTTTGGGTCAGTCACATCATTTCTGTGCATTGAGATGATTAGATGAAGTGGAAAGTGTCATTAATTAGGATGAAGGGAAGACATGTTCTTGCACTCATTATGGCTGTGTCTACACTGCACCCCTTTTCCAGAAAAGGGATGCAGATGCGACAAGTTGGAATTGCAAATGCAGTGGGTATTTAAATTTCCCCGCTGCATTTGCATAAACATGGCTGCCGCTTTTTTCCGGCTCGGGGCTTTGCCGGAAAAAAGCACCAGTCTAGATGGGAATCTTTTGGAAAATAAAGCCTTTTCCGAAAGGTCCCTTATTCTTTTTAAAATCAGGAATAAGGGACCTTTTGGAAAAGGCTTTATTTTCCGAAAGATCCCTGTCTAGACTGGCGCTTTTTTCCGGCAAAGCCCCGAGCCGGAAAAAAGCAGCAGCCATGTTCATGCAAATGCAGCGGGGAAAATTTAAATCCCCGCCGCATTTGCAATTCCGACTTGTCTCATCTGCATCCCTTTTCCGGAAAAGGGGTGCAGTGTAGACACAGCCTATATGTTTTGCTTTCTTTAATGGAACTTTAAATGTGTCCATTTAATTACATTCATACAATCAATATTTTGCCTTTGTGTTGTTTTCATAGCATATTATAAAGGAGAATTTTAGGTATATAGTTGTAGATTCTAACTTTAATTAAGCATGCTTCCTATATCATAGTCTTAACTTCTGTAGCAATGTCCATGATTCATATGTCAGCCAACTCTGCCAAAGCAGATTAGCTAGTATGTCTGTGGTATGATAATGAGATCAGATACAGAAAGGTATGAATTGCTGCTGTACTTGTTGTAGGTTCTGTGGGCTGAGTTAATTCCAGGGGTAATTCAATTAAATGTAGTGGAATTATAACACAGCTGATACTGGCCCCGCATATTTAACATGATTCATCCTCAATGTTTGCACCTTTTGACTTTTCTGCTGCTTTTTTAGGTATTACAATTATGGACAGTCAGTTGGAGCAGCAGAGATGCAATTACATGTTGATGGACTTAAGGACCCTACTGTCCTCTGGCGGATATACTATAATCAAGGCAATCAGTGGGTAAAGGCTTCCATTCAGCTTGGCCGCCTCCGATGGCCCTTCCAGTTATCACTGTATAAAATCAGCCTTGGATTTTATGATGGTGTCACAGCAATTGATGACATAACATTCAAGAACTGTGCTCTTCCATCTCCAGCAGTCAGCTGTGAAGGTCTTGGTCATTTCTGGTGCAGGCACACAAAGGCTTGTATCAACAGTTTATTGGTGTGTGACCTTGTGGATGATTGTGGGGATGGATCCGATGAAGAAAATTGCAGTAAGTACTTTTGATTATGTTCCTTGTCCATTTCAGCCCTGGCAGTTGCACTGCTTAAGCTAGGATTGAATTGCTCTGTTGTTGAAATACAAACTTTAAATGATTGACTGGTGCCATGCACACATGATGAGCCCCAGAGGTTAGCTCTTGTAAAACATGAAAATGAATACACACAGACCAATCTTCGTCATTAGAAATATGGCCATAATTCTGTATTTTCTATAAAATATAAAAGCACTACTTGTTCAGAATATAATTCTTAAGGTGGTATTACAATATGTGCATGGTAGGTTTTTTGTTTGTGTAATCTTTCTTAAATTGATGAAGTATGGTGAAGGTCTGCCTATATTTGAATTATTTTATGTTTGAATATTTATGGAGAATAATATCTCTCAATTCTTCATATTATGGAGATAATAGTTCATGGTAGTGACAGTGAGATTAACTATCCCCCTTCCAAAGAAAAACACATAAAACAAAAAAAGCTGCTGTATATTCACATTCATGACATTTACTTTTCAGTATTTCAGAACTCTGCTGCTAATCTCTTTCCATCCATGTGTGCACTCATGAATTTTAAGACAAGAAGAGCAGTAACATATAGCAAAATTAATCAATACCAAATTCATTATCATATCCTGAGGTGACAAAATTCTACACATTACAGTGAGTTATATTAGCAGGAGTGAACTCTTTGCATAGAGGGAGATTTGTAATGGTTTCACCTTTCCAGTGGTTTAATTTTTTCAAATTGCCATTTTTACTTCAAGTGATATCTTATGGAGAGTCTGCTTTATCTCATACACTACATGATCAATTTGTGATCCTGCAACCTCCAGTTCAAGTTAGTCAGGCCAGATAATTTAGAAATGAAGAGGCATCGAATTAAGCTTATCTTTTCTGTGGCATATTCTCACTCTGTGTCTTCTTCATTCTGAGCTTCCTGATCTCTTAAATCAAGTAGTATATTTTTCTCCAGTTGCATTTAGTACTGTACACAGGTGAAAAGGTGCAAATTTAATGGAATACTTCTGTTAATTTTAAAATAAATAGATTACGTCTTAATCTAATGGAAAAATTGTAATTCATCAATGTGTTTGCTAACATACCTTTATGTAAAAATTAGGCAAAATTAAATTTGCTTAGTATCTGATTATATAAATCCTGATTCTTACTTTGATTTACTTGTGCTGTCTTGTTGTATAAAACTCAGAAGACTATGTAAAGCACCTAAACTCCTACACTCATTCTGGAGAAAGTTTACTTTGGTACACAAGTCATGAGGAAGAGGTTTCATGTTGATGGTGAAATAGCCACAAAGGGGGAGAGAAGCTAAGAAGTAGGCACACAGTTGGAAGCCAGGTTGTACATTGGTGTGCATGCAAATAGAGGCCAGGTGGAGAAGCCTTTAAAAGGTGGTGTTAAGCTTTCTTGGTTATTAGAATTAGTTACTTCAGTTTTCTTTTAATAAAGTTGATTAGTGTTGGACAAAAGTAGTGTGAACTGTTCTCAATTGAGTGTACCACTATGCTCAATTGATGAGGAGGATTCTGTTTCCATAGATTCTGTGTCAGGCTATTCTCCTCTCTCCCACTTTCACTGATTTTTGCTTTTATTTTTATTTTTTCTTCCTCCCACTTCCCTGGGTAAGGAGTTGAACAAGTAAAATAGTATAATGTAACATTTACAATGGCAAATAAATACATTTAATTTAAATAAATAACTATTTTATTGGTGTTTGAGTCTGTATGTGTGTGTTCTTCCTCTTGAGATGCTTTTAGCAGATTTTATGTCCTTCTGGGGTCTCGTATTTCAAATTTATATATATACTGTATTTGCATTGTGTTTTAAAAAATTGTATAAGCCACCTCAAATATTTCAGATAGAGGGGAGGGGTAAAAATATTTTAAATAAATAATAAACAGAGTCCTGAATATTTGCAGTAAGGGGATTTGTCATTTGAAGCTGAAATCTTGCAAGAAAAGTTTAGGACACTTTGGCACCATTGCAACCAAACTTGTATCCTAGCCTAAAAGTAATCTGAATCAGGATCCAAATGTTGGCTTCTCATCCTATATCTGATTAGTTTGAGTACTGAGGGATAGTAAGAGTGTGAAACCTGATTTTAAGTCTTTTTCCTAAAGAAAAAATGTAACTTTTAGAACATTTATTCCAGTCTTCCTTCCTGTCCAAGACTTATATCATAGGTGGTTCTCCACTTGGGGTATGTATAACCCTGGGGTTACTCACAGGTCTTCAAGAGGGAATGTCAACTCATATAGATCAGTGTATCTCACACTGGGAGTCATGAAACCAAGGGTGGAGATCTAGGACAAAGTCACAAATGCAGAGCTAGGGATGCTAAGCAGGGCAATTCCTGGCCCCCATGCTATGTTAAGGGAAGCTAAGCAGGGAAATTCCTGGCCCCCATGCCACAGGGAACTTCATGAAGCTAAGTTTCATGCTTCAGCCCCATGCAGAAGGGCTTGGTCTTACTCTACAGGTGGCAGGACTCAGGCTTCAGATTCTCTTTAGAGGGGTACAGTAATCAGGAAAGGTTGAGAACCACTTTCCTGCAGTGTTTTTCTAGTGTTTTATTTAGGGCTAGAATTTGAATGTATGTGTGTGTGTATATATATATATATATGGGTTAGCCCCTATAAAGGGCTGCCAGCACTTTAAATGGGAGTGAGCCTTCAGGTATGCCTGCAGTTAGATCCATTGATCATGGATCTCTATTCCCAGCCAATGGGAGCTGTGGGAAGCAGTGTCCTGATCTGCGCTGCTTCCCACATCTCCAATTGGCCAGGAACAGTGATCCACGACCAACAAGAGTTGTGAGCCACCATACTTGCAGGTAAATAGAGAGCTGGTGGCCCGCCAGGGATAGCCCTTGCAAACTGCATCCAGCCCATGGGCCATTTATTGCCCACCACTGTGTTCAGACTGATTTAAATATATTTAATCACATTGACATTAATGTTCGTAGAAGAAAAAGGAAATTCTCACAGATCACTTTGTTTGATGTAGCATATTGCTTTCATTTGACAAGATCTACATTTGCATATTTCAGATCCTGAGCTACAGTGTAACTTTGAAAATGGGCTATGCAACTGGAGTCAGGACACAGATGATGACTTCGACTGGACCATAAACCAGGGCCCAACTTCCACATTTGACACAGGACCAATAAAGGATCACACTTTGGGCACAGTCAAGGGACACTATCTCTACATAGAATCCTCAGAACCACAGGTGTTCCAAAATAGAGCAGTTTTGCTGAGTCCGATCTTCAATGCCACTTTCACTCATGGCAATAAAAGCTGCATTTTCCACTTTCATTATCATATGTTTGGAAAACACATTTATAGGCTGTCAATCTTCCAGAGGATTTTGAGCAACTCAAAGGGTCATCTGCTGTGGCGGAAGTTTGGAAATCAAGGTAACAGATGGATAAGACAAACACTCAACATCACAAGTTCTAAGCCTTTTCAGGTATGATTCTTTCAGTGTATGATGACTTTACTAGAACACATACAATATTGAGAGAATGAGAATTCCCTAATATAAAATAAAACCAAAAGTTAGTCTTTGATCAAGTTTACTTTGACATATATTTGTCATTTGATTAAATATAGTCCCAAGCATTTTGTTTTGCTGCAGCCATTTCTCCCCATACCAAAATGCCTGGATAATCTTTGAAGATGAACACATGGTATTTAAAACAGCTGTTGTATGGTGCTTTCAGCACTGAATTCAGTAACACTATGCTTGTGCCCATTGCAAAGCCTATTGGGAATATGGAACAGCTTGTCCTTTTATTTTTGTGAAAAACATTTTCCTGTGCTCAGTAGGAATCTTTCACTAGATGACATTAAGCTAAATATCTCATCCAAATATTTGAGTGCAGAGCCTACTCCTCATAGGTTGAAAAAGTATGTATCAGTTAGTGGAATACAAATTTACTAAAAAGCACAGCTGGAAATCCAAAGCCTTCCTTTTAAAAGCACTTTGTGTTTGTTAAAATAAAACTTCCATGTTCCATGTCTTGTGGTTCATATTGGGGTTAGTATGCTTGCAAATGTATTCGAGATGTCCATTTATTTGACTGTGTGATGCCAATTCATCATAAAATTAATTGAAAAGACAAACTCCTTTATTTAATTGATCAAAGACAATATTTGAGGTAGATGGTGCTATGTTTGATGCTGTGGTGCTATGTTTTGTTTCTATGTGGGCTATGTTCAGTGACTCTGACACTGAAAAAATGAGGAGTAATGTTAGTTCGAACCAAGGGATTTGATTCAAACTGCTGCGTCCCGGAGCGCACTTCCTGGTTTGAATCAGCTGTTGAGCAGTGTGAGGGGGTCCCTCCTGCTGGCCTTGTGTCAGTCTATCACACCCCTGCTCATTCTGGGTTTAACTCCTTTTATTGCTCCTGCTTCCCTGTTTCCCCGAGCTCTCTATGCCAAGCCTAGCGCCACAACGCCTTCGCTCCCCCATGTGGGGGTATGGTGACCCGAGCCCGCCCTCACCTCCGGGTCCCAGCCCAGGACCCTGGGGATGAGGAGATCACCATCTCTCCACCTCCCATAGCCAGCAAGGACACCGCCTGAAACTTGCTGACTCACAGGCCTTAGACCTGCCCTGGGCTTCTTCCTACCCACCTCTTTGGGTTCTTAGGCTATCGCATCACACCGCGTCTGCGCTTCATTTGGACCCCCTCCCCTCAGGGTTCCCTGCTCGCGGTCCTAGACCTTCGGTCAGGGCAAGGCTCCATTTAAGTCTGGCGCCCTCAGGGACACCCCTCCCCTGAACTTCCTGCTCGCGGTCCTAGACACACTCCGGGCAGAGCCCTGCCTTTGGTCAGGGCAAGGTTCCATTTAAGTCTGGTGCCCTCAGGGACACCCCTCCCCTGAACTGCGTCGTCGCCCACATCACTGCCCCACCCTCTTATGCCCTCAGCGGGCCTCTTTCTCCCCCCCCGATACCTGGGGTTGCCGTGTCGGCTGCGTAGGTGCTCAGCAGCC